GCTCCAGAATATGCAAGCTACCCGGTCCTTTAACCGTCAAAGACGCCAAATAGTCTGCCACAAAATTAACCTCACGATAGCCATGAGCAACCGTCACACGCCATGAGCGACCCATCAACTCCTTAATGCCCTTTAAAATGCTCCCATGCGGCCCGTTAGTGTCCTCCTGATGTACCATCGCAACAACACTTGCATTATCTACCTCCACTGTGATGTTACGAGCTCCAATATCCCGCGCCAACTTCAAACCCTGGAACCATGAATCTGATTATCTTAAAATTATTATTCGTGTTGGTGATAATGCGAATAAGTTTAATTATATACAACTAATATGATATTTCGAATTATTTAATAAATAATATTTTTATTTTACTTTTTTATATTTTTATATATTCAGAAATTTACTATATTAATTATTTATTTAAATTATAATTAAAAAAATATATATTTTTAATATCAAGTCGTGCAATATTAGTCAATAATGGGTAAAGTTGTGCAGTATTTTAATGTGCTATAATTCCTTGTACCTTTACTTGGAAAAGTTGAACTCTTTGCGCACCCAGCACTACACACACGCGGACATCAAAGTTCAAACCACAGTTGACAATAGCTGTTAAAGTACCAGCAAGTTGCAAATTAATTAAAGTGTCTGCACAATAATTTAAAATATTTCAAAATAAGTTCACATATTCATATTAACTTTTTTTGGATAAACAAACAAAAAATAGTTACAATTATTTTTAGTCATCTCTCAAATACTACAAACAAATTTAGGCTACTTTTGAGATAAGTACAAAACTATATTTATTCACATCTCAAATTAATTTTGAATTTTTTGATAAGGATATAACAAGGAGAAGTTGTCAATTTGTTTACTTTATATGGTTTACTAGTGTTATTTATTTTCACTCTTTGTAGAGCGATTGTTAAATTAAGTGATATCTAAAGATTATATGTTTTAATTTTTCCACCGCACAACAACTGTTGCATATTCATCGCATATTGTCTTCGAATTTTCTGAGGTAAAAAAAATTAACTTATCAAATTATCAGCTAGACTGTGTGAAAAATGTAATACATTTTCACGGTGAGGTACTGAAAAATACTACTTTCACAAGAATATAATATATGTACACATACGTTCGCCTTCGATACATCTACAATCATGCTACGTAGTAGCACACGGGCCTCGTTTTGAACCGACTGCATCGACACATTTGTTAGGTGGATTTGTGCCGATGATCGGGTCGTCGTCGGGCAAAAGCAATCTGGGGTTGAGCCCGGTGAAAAGCAGGAGACCGAAAAGGACCACAACCGAGAGTACGGACAAGGACAGCCGTATTAGACGAGGGACGCCGCCTTTGACTTCTTGCTCGTATCTTATGGAGGCAAGGGTCAACATCGTTATTGGGTAGGAATAAGCCCACCATGCAACGTTGAACCTTCTCATCGCTTTCTTGAAAAGACATGGCCTGCATATCTTTTTTTTTTTATTTTATTATTATTTTATTTAAAAAAGGAAAAAGGTTAAATAATTAATTTAGAGTCACACTTGTGTATAATAATAATTAGCATGTTATGATTATTAATTTAGAAAAACTATAATGTTATATTGATATCAAGAAAAGTGAGCACTTGTAAATAAAAAAAGGACTAAATTTATGTAATGTGCTGCAATATGTTGACTAAGATGTCTACTTTCAGCTGCCCAAAAAGAAAAAGAAAAGAAAAAAGTAGTATGAAACTAATAATTTTAAATTTTAATTTAGTGGTTATGCTAAGTTTACATCTACTTTGTGTTCAATTTAATACTTCAATAATTTGTGTATGTCATGTATATATGGGACATATATATATACTTCAATTTAATACATCATTCCGTTGGGGTTTGTAATTATATATTAAATCGACTATCCACGACGGTTACGTGATGATCTAACGGTTAAAAATCCCGACGGAATGGTTACGTAATGGGACTGTAGCATTTTGGGAGAAAATCATTTTCATCCCAAAAATAAATTATATTTTTTTCACATTTTTTTAAATACTTCATTTTCTATATGGTTGGACAATAATTAATTAACCTGTCATAATCTTCACATGCCAACATAAAATTAAAAATTATTTACGTTAATTAATACTACCAATCATATTTAATATAGGCTTAATTAATCATTTGCAGATTTGTTACGGCGTCTCGGCACTATTTTATATTAATCAGACTTCATGCAAAATTATTTAAATTATTGAAATGAGGTAACACTAATAATTACAATGACCGCCTAAAGAAAATGGGAGATTCTATGGTCTCGTTACGAAACCATTCCGACGAGGTTTGTAACTGTTAAATCAACTATTCATTACGGTTAGATGATGATCTAACGATTACAAATCTAAACAAAATGGTGCGATAATTAACGGGACTGTAGCATTTTCTAAAGAAAAATATAATGAAGCCTGCCTATATCTAATTAACCTGTCATAATATCTTCACATACAAAACAAGAAATTAAAAATTAAAGAGAAATAGAAGCCGGACAATATCGAATAAATTTGAAAATAATTAGTTGGTATATATGAAATGTCCATCTTTAATTAAAAAGAGTGTGTTGATCATCCAACACTTCATATAAATAATTAACAAACTATCTAGATGTAATGTATACTATATATTTTTTTTTGGGACTCACACTTTTAAATCCTTTTAATTAATTGTGCTAATACGAGATTTCCAAATTAATTAGTAGCTTTAATATAAAGTATCATAATTTAAAAAAAGGGCATAAACACAAATATAATATATATATATATTTTTTTTTTTTGGTACAAGGAGACTACTATGTTTCGAGCATAAGAAATCCCTATGATATCGTAATCTAACCACGGTTTCGAGCATAACAAATATAATATTTAATAGCACAACTATGTGTTTTGATTTATAAAATAAAATGGCGAATTAACCCGTCTAACAATTAAATTATTCCCCCACAAAATAATTGGTATATATTGTCAACAACATTACATAACTTTGTTCTTTAGTTGCTATCCTTTCTAGGACTGTAAACGAGCTGAGCCGAGCTCGAGCATAAGGTGTTTGAGCTCGAGCTCGAGCTCTTAACGAGTCGAGCCGAGCTCGGCTCGTTAAGTAAACAAGTCAAAAATAGAGCTCGAGCTCGGCTCGTTAAGGTCTCAAGCTCGAGCCGATCTCGAGATTCAACGAGCCGAACTATAAAAATTACATAAATTTCACTTTTCGAGCCTTAACGAGCCTAATCGAGCCGAGTCGAGCTCGGCTCGTTAACCAAACGAGCTTTAAATAAGCCTGAGCTCGGCTCGTTAAGGCTTCGAACTCGAGCCGAACCGAGCCTTAACGAGCCGAGCCAGACTCGTTTAATTTAACAGCACTAATCCTTTCTAACTTATTGTTCGTTGATATTTCAAATCTAATTCAATAACCGACCCAAAATTTGTATGTTCGTTGATCCATTATTTCAACCCTAGTTCAATAATCGACTCGAACAGGCTTCCGGTCCGCAATCGAATTGGGGATCACTTGGCCAAATTACACTCTGAAAATTTAACTTAAGATGAAAAAATCATTCAATATATGAATACTTTGATATCTTATGGCTGTCTAATTTATTCGGATCCAATCAAATCAACGCTCAGGTCAACTGGGTTGAATTTAGCAAAGCCTGATTAAGACGCAACTAAAGTCACAATCTAACTCATAATATGCTAACGTCAAAAACACCTACCAAAGCCTCGATTTTTTTTTTTAAAAAAAATTAATAATAATAAAATAATAATAATAATTTTCAAAATTGGTTTCTAAAATACAGCTGGGACAGATAATTATTTAGGACTAATATAATCGGTAAGCTGATTTATCACGGGTTTTCGAGCCCTAGTCCAAAAAATGTAATTTAAAATTAAATTAAAATTAAATTAAAAAGAGTATACAATTTTTGGAATTTTAAGAACCATGTATTTTATCTTAATTTTTTTTGGAATTTTAAGAAACGTGTATTTAACCTAAACTGAATTAAAAAGAGTATACAATTTTTGGAATTTTAAGAACCGTGTATTTAAGATAATTTTTTTTTTATCAACTTTTTGGAATTTTAGGACTTGGTGTATGCAACGTAGACTTTTTACTGATATTGATTTATGATTATAAAAATCTTAAAGTATTTAAGTTATTCTTCGAAAGATGCTACGGTTACGGAACCATCCCGTTAGATTTGTAACTATTAGACCAACTATCTCTTACGATTACATGATAATCTAACATATAAATTTCGACGGAATAGTTCTGTAACGGGACCTTAACATTCCTTTATTCTTTTACTGAATTTGTTTGGACTTTAAAACCAAGTGTATATGCACGAACCCGCAAGTTCAAATCTCAATAACAAACATAATCTTCTTAGGATTCTCTTAAATTTGAAAATATATTATAAAAACGCACTCGAAATACACTTCCTATAAATAATTATAAGTATCACTAAAAAAGAAAAAAACAAGAAAAAGAAAAAAGAAATAAAAAAGGTATCACTTACGAGAGACATGAAGAGAAAGAGCGAGAGAAAAAAGAGCATCTTCGCCGCCGTGTCAAACCTGCCGGCGATCGAGTACCACGCCACGCTGGCCACGCTCGGCGCCCCGAAAAACAAGCAGAACGTCGGCCGTAAAATCGCCGGCAGCCGGTCCCCCCCTCCTCCGGCGATCCTCTGGTACAGCGTCACCAGCAGCACAAAGTAGTGCGCCATCCCCAGCCCGAACAGAAACACCGCCGCCTCCCTCCACCCCATCTTCGCGGCGGCCCGCGCCCCGATCAGGTTCCCGACCACCGTCAGCTGGCTCGTCGGGTTCGCCACCGCCGTGAGGAACCTCTTCCCCCGCGTCGTGAACCACTGTCCGTACACCTTGACGTCTAAAACCACCACGGGCACCGCCAGCACCCACC